AAAATCCACCCTTTACTACCACAACAGAGTGCTGAGTGATAACCATTATAGAAACGCCACTAAATGCTCCTGCAGTTTTCATTGCCAGCTGCATATTTCCATTCATCAAGATTTCTCTAATTCTCCTCATTCAGTACCACTCCTGGAAAGACATTTCCCCTACAATAATTTATCATAGTAACAACACTTCTGTTAACATCTTCCAAAATAACTTCTGAATTCGCAGACTTGCTAACGACACTGCTTTTGTTTCTTTCTGCTCCGCCGCTTTTCTTTTTTTGACTTTAATACAGAAAAATGAATTTCAGCGGAAATGAGAAAAACCTCGAAGAAAGAGTTATATAATTTTGCAAAGGACTATTAAGAGCAAAAGTAATGTTTTTCAACGGAGGAACGCTGCTTCTTCCAATAACATCTTACAACGGGTGGAAAACCAGACACTCAAAGCTACAAAAAAATGAATTCGCCATTGGATATATCATACATTACAACCTGACGTCTGCAATTCCCGTGCAACGTTCAGAGACAAAAAACCCTGTTGTGTCCAAATCTGTCAAATTCAAAGAGCCACAGCAATCCCAAAAGAAAAAGTTCAAGAACGAAGTACTTCCCCAATACCAGTCCGCATGGCCAAAAGAACGACACTAGGGCAAGAATTATTCCAAATACAAATCTATAAAGCCTTAAGTGATCATTCGAGAGTCCCAATTTCATTTCAAAATTCATGCTGCTCGATTACTTGCATTCTACTCCAGAGAGTTACGCATACCCTAGTCTACCTACAGAAAAACAAAAAATCAGCTTTATTCCGCTAAGCAACACAAATGTCATTAGTGCTTCTAAAGAATTAGACTCTTACAAGCAGCTTCCCTTTATACACAGAAACTTCGATCATAACGAAAAACAAAAGAAATGAATTACTAAATCCTTCTTCCCTCTTACCTATAGTCTAAAAAAAAAGAAAAACAAAACATACTTACAAAACAATGAACCAGAATACAAAATTAAATACAACCCCACAACCGTAATAACTGTTACAGAATTAATGCCTATAACTAGCTTAAAGACAGTAACCCACCGGTTGCCGAAATGAGGTTCAAGACTCCTTTCTACAACACTTGTCCTTCTTTTTTGGACAGGTTGCGAGCTAACTAGATCAAACAATTTTGCTGAGACATAGGGGTCTGCAGATCCGTCTCTGTCAATTGGTAGCAGTCCTCTGCAAAAGCAAAGCACTTTAATTGAACTATTAATCCAAACCTTAATTATTAACTTTTTCAAAATAATTCAGAGAATAAATAATCCAAAGAAAAACTCCCATCTAATTTTGCTTAGAAAAATAGTAACTTACGACGCTCGTTCGACTATCAACACTAATTTGCCCCTAACTTCTTGGTAACGAAGACCAATCTGAATCTTGCCATACTCTCTGCTTCTACAAAAAAATTCTTTTTCAACCAAAACGTTTCGACAAATTGTTAATGCGAGCTGTAAGGTACGGTCAGGTAAACAATTCAAGTTACATACTCAACAGTTTTCGAGCGAACGTGCCTAGAGGAAAAAAGTTTTTCGCTGATCCCCCGCCGTTTTCTGAAACTTTGTAGGCTTGACTGGGAAGTTTGACTGTTCTTCCTGAGAACCGTGACTTCGTTAGCGCAAAGTCTTAGTTGCGTCGGTTTTTCAGTTAACAATTCTCCTGTACCATTTTCACCTCCTTCACTCAGTCCTGTATTTTTTTTTGACGGGAAGTCTTCTACGCCACACGTTGACTGTCCGTTTGATTTTTCTGCTCGCTCGATATAAACCACTAAAAAGAACGATAACCAAAAAGATATATACATTTCAACCTTAAAAGTTTTCCAGAACAAACCATTTCCGTATAAAGGTCCTGATGGGCTATCATTGGAATTTGTTTTGCGGAAATCGGCCCTAGCAGTTTTGAGAGCCTGAAAAATATTCAGAAACATAACTTCAAAAAATCAATAAAATTCACAAAATTTAATTGTGAAGGAAGTTTACTAAACTACCTTCAAAATACCCAGAGTACTATTTCAATAGAATGAAGCTATACCCGTAATCTTACTGTCAGTACAATCTGACTTTGATGCACTCCTTGTGACAAGGAAAATGTCCGCTGGTTGAGTTCAAGATCAGGTTCAGATACGAGAGACTTCAACCGCAGCACCAGATGCCCCAACGAACGTTTAGTTCCATCATCAAAAGCCTGGATTTGAGCAGCTCTTGTAGAAAAAATAAGGAATTATTCTGCTGATCAATTTCTCAAGATATTTAGAATGTTAAAAAGTACCTCAACTTTCAACTCTTGACCCTCTGGGTCACTAATAAAAAAGCAAAACTTCTTTTGATACAATGGGTTTACGGTCTTCTCTCTGACGGGCGTCCTCTGCTTAACATGTCCAATTGAAACTTCGATAAATGGGGATGGTTCTAACTTTGCTTTTGGATACTATAATATAATTAAACATTAATAAACAGTACTCGTCTAATCTCTTTTCAGCTCCTTATAGAGTTTAGTAAATAAGCCAGTGAAAAATAATATAAAAAGAACTTCATTTCCTCAGCTTTCTAAGAACTATACAGCCAGTAGCTAACAGTAAATTATTCAGATACGATGATTTCCTAGTTTTAAAAACTAAAAATTAAAACTGTAACATGTCTATAAAGTTTAAAATAAAATTACCGGAAGGTCAGAAACGTTATCAACAAAAACCATAAGAAGTCCTGAATGAAGTCTTTTATCTGACCGCGACCAGTTGCTTTCGGTCTCCGGCTGATGAAAGTCTCTGATGTCCTTACTCAGATAATACCATGACATCTTGAAACAAAACATTCGGTCAATAAATAGCTCCCACAAAACGTTTAGAAACCAAAAAAAGCAAAAAATAAATTTTCAAAAAAGGGCTGCGTACAGAAAACTCTCCACACAACTAAAATCTAATAGTTCTCCCTACAGATGTCTGTAGACAAATAAAGCATTGAGAATACCAGGATAGAACAGCAGTAAAAACATTGCTTAAAGTCTTATTAATTCTTAAAAAATGACCAACCAACCTTCAACGAAATTTCACCATGCAAACAGCCTTCAAGAGAATACCATTCCGAGACAGTTCCGGCATGTTTAACCATATCAAGAGGAAGACTCAAACGTCCCAATTCTTCATCGGCAGATGCCGTGTCTTTATCAAACAATTCTATACGCAATTTTTGGCCTTCAGCTTCATCAACCACTGCTTCAAAGCACTCATTCCACACAGGATTCAAATCATTATTGATAGTTCGTGTTTTGAAATACTGCGAGCCAACTGTAATGAGAAAAAAATCATGTGACATTCAAGCTATTTCAGTTATTATTCATATATTTTCAAATGGCAATCACTAGAAGTAAATTACTTTCGAAACGAATGGAAATTAGCAGATTTCAAAATTGAGAAAACAATTTATTTCAGCCTTTACTGAAACTCAGACAGACCTACGACAAACTCAATATCCTCATTTAAACAAGTGTTTATTTTTTTGAAGCTATAAACAACTACGTATATAGACCCAAAAAAACTTCTTTTGCCATTACGTTTTGCATAGAAGCGGTAGATAATAAAACCCTCAACGATGGTGTTATCTACCCCACTTATTTCTTTCTCATATCCTTTTTGCACGGCGAAATTTAAGAGAAAATAGTAATAAAAACTGTATATACTACTTGCCCTGAATTTCACAGTAAGGGTCGCTTGCTCCTTTTCTTATAAAGGTGATGTCCCTGTTCTCTAGGTCTTTCGCCTGAATTACTTTTAACCGAATAACACCATCCGGCTCGGGAAAAAAGAGTTTAGTGATATCAACATTAGGAGCCAGAGGAATAACAATTTCATTAGGAACCACACAAATGTTAGCAACCTAAAACGATTACTTAGTACAAACAAGTGTTAAGGGACGCACACAATAAGCTATATTTTTCTTTTCAACTTATAAGAAATGACAACTTCTTTGTGCAGAACTAATTCACTCAAGCTTTTCAATATTTATCCATATCAGAGAGCCCACTGGGACGCAACGCCGGTAAACCTCTGAATCACTGCGAACCATTAGTTAGACGAGGTGTCCCCTAATTTTATATTCCACAACAAATAAAGTATGCTGCAAAATTACGAGAGGGAGCAGTAAACTTGGCCTAGTAGTAACACTTTTTAAGTTTTTACAACTGGGAGCTTCATACAGGAACTTTAGCTTACTGAAGAACTAACAATATGACAAAAAATTACTTCTTTGAAAGCTAGCAACTGAATGCATTGATATTAAAAAATAAGCTTTTGATTTCCCATCATACTTTTACAAAATAATGTGTAAAAATTAACGACACTGTCGCGTAACCGACATGTACCGCCAAACTCCACCTGTCGTAGCAGTTTTTTCTTCCACTTAATGCTTTTAAATGTTTCTTGCTTTTATTTTTTTCCCCTTCTCCTTTTATTAATTCTGGTTTCACGTAATTAACTGGCTATCTTTGTAATAAAATAATTATTTGAAAACTTCTCTTTCTGAAGAGGTTTCCACATATCTATTATTCTCACCAAAATGCATACTTTTTTAAGCCAAAATCATAAATACCTAAACTTCCGTTAACTTGCAAATCTTGAGCCTGAATTGGATAATCAGAAAAGCATATCCCAAAAATGTAATGGTGGCATATTTAAGCTGTCCATAAACAGAAGAAAGCAAATTTTGGTTATCTTCATCTTTCAAGAATTATAATTTTGTTCATTCGCAGTAAATTTTGAAACTTTTTAGTTCTTTTGGCAGTACAATCCCTGTAGATCAAAAAGTAATAAAGAGTTTATAACGACAAATAAGTAAAAAAGTTTAAATAAAAAGATGACTTTTTTAAATTTTGAGAAAACCTTCTTTTGAGGTAAATTCTCCTTATATGACGCTAAAATCGCAATTTGGCTTTTTAACGAACTAGGAAGTCAAGGAACGAAAAATGATGTAAAATGTCACATTATCCTTACCTCAGCGTGTTTAAATTTTCTGTTGAGAACCTATTGATTGCAGAGCTGTAGAAATTTTCTCAGAACTAAAAATATTCACAACTACAAATATACGCTACAAATACAAGAAATAAGCGGAGAAAGAGTGATACGAAGTAACTAAATTGCAGTAAAACAAGCAAATACTTTAGCGCTAGTTAAAAAAGACATTTCATCAAATGACTCAATGTCAACAACAATTTCCAAAAAAAATACAGTAAACAGAGTTTACAGTTTCGAAGCCAATGTCGCCTAAAATAATTTGTTTAAATGCAAATATTATCAAATTTATCCTCTCCCGTCTCTTACAACTAATCTCCCTCTACTCGTTCCAGAATGGACTCCACAATATTAAGAAATCAAGTTCCTAATGCAAAATGTCTTTTCAGAAAGATTAAAATAATAATTTCTAATGAAACCTTAAACAAAAAATTCACAATTTTAAAACCTTTCCATGAAAAAGCAAAAAAATTCCAGAAACTTAAAATATTTATTTTAAGTGAATTTAAAAATACTCCATCAGTCAAAGGGATAGGAAAGTGATACTCAATTATGTCAGTTCAAAGGATAATTTTTCCTATTTAGGGAGGTCTGCCAATTCCCCTACTGGAATAAACACTACCGTTATCACTTAAATGGCGTAGATTTTGATTACAAAAACTTTCTGAAAGCCTGGTTTTCTCTGTAAAAGATAAAAATAAAAAAATCGTCATTATTAAAAGGGTAAAAAATGAATTTTCAACTTGTTTCCAAATAACAAATTTTATGCAAAATTTCTTTACTGCAATATGTGCTAATTTTGAGACATTGGACAATTCATGAAAGAAGGGTTCGGAAGAGGTTCTGGTAACCGCAAAATATTGCAATGACTTGCTAGCTGCACATTCAGATTTGTATCTTAAAACTACAAATAACTCGCGGTTAATTTTTCTCAACTTCAATTTTCTAAAATGAGAGGCCTTTCTTTCAAAGGTATGATGAAAGAAGTGCTTATGCCAATGCAATTGTTAAGGGTCCATTTGCCTGCTCTTAACAACTCAGAATTCCATCGCCTTACTCTAATAAGTCCTAATGAAAAAGATGATTGCACAGAAAACACATTTGTTATTAAAAAAAATCAAAGACCCATTATTTCTTCATTCCTTTTTTAAATCTTGGTAGTATATGAAGAAAATTTGATGTTTAAAAATGAGTTGGGACGCGAGTAAATATGACTTTGAAGCAACCTTAAACCAAATCAATTTTGTGAAGAACACAGTAAGCTACAATCATTTGCAGTAGTTATTTTTCACTAAAAAACACGATTTCTCGCTACTTCGGCGTTTGCAAAATCATCCTTAGGTTGGCTAGCGAAGAATTTGCAAATTCGGAACGAAGCTATGACATACGACAGCGAACTGGTAAAAAATTTGAGATATCAAGCTGGAAGTGTACAAATTAGTGCGAACTGTTTGCACAAGTCTTGTTCGTCAAAACAGTCTTATCCAGTATCCGCCTTGAGTTAGCATTTTTGCCTATATATATATATATATATATATATATATATATATATATAACGATGTATTATAACTGTTCCGTGTCATCTCGCATACTTTTTTACTTGATATCTCAGAAAAAGTTCTGCTGAATGGCAGAGTCCAGACCCAGATCTAAAAATGTAGACAAATAACTTGGGGAAGCCTCTCCCCACAAGTTACACCTCAAAATTACAAAATTTGTCAGGTTGCTGACTAAAATGTCAATCTTCTTGTGCTCGTAGCCCAGTTCAATTTCAAGGAAAATTTTTTGTCAGATTTTGCACGTCCTGTACTTTTGGATACATTTCATTGGCTTATTTCGTTAAATAAGTGGGTAGACATAACAAAATTGAAAAAAATTTTAAGAAAAATTACTGGAAAAAATGTCTTCTAAAATTTCTTCAAAAAAGCATATTTGGTGTAACATTTTCTGCTGTATAACCTTTCACAAGTCCGTGATGTTTCTCTAGCAATTTCTCTAGCGAAGCCAAGAGTTATACTTTAAAAAGCTGAGCAAGATGGATAATAATCCAGCGATAATGCGATGTTGTTACAGTAATCACACACACTTTGGGGTGGCGAAAATACCTATAGCTGTTTATAAAAGAGCTAGAAAGCTGCTTTCGAGATCTGAGGTCTAAGGTATTACAAAATTCTTTTAAAAAGCTGCATTTTGTATAAAAGTATTTGCAGTTTACTAACGCTTAACAAACAGTCAACAGCAGTGTCCAAGATGACATAAATTTTGGAGAACAGTAGTTCTTTAGTAGAGAGAGTGCATGTAAAATAATATTTTTGGCAGTATGGAACTACTTGCAACTTTCTGCTGTACAGAGTTTCAAAAGACTGGTTTTATTTCTGAATCCTCTGTCCTCAGTACGTTCTCGTCAGCTGCGCAGGACAAAAAAGTGCCTACAGTTTGCAACAGCAAACAAGTAAAAATTATGCCGCATGTGAAACGGTGACAGGCGACCAGTGAATTCTTCAAACAAAGAAAGCAAGAGACGGAAGGTTTTCCAAATCGGTGTCTATGAAGCCAGAAAGCGAAAAACTCTTGAGTTGAAAGGGATGTATGTGGAATCTGTCATTGTTTAGGTCATTCAAGCAAATATGAGCTCGATTTAAGGTTTCTTGCTGTAATTCTTTAAATAGGTGAGATCACAAGTTTGGAAAGAACCTGCGTTCTGCGGCTGAATGGCTAAAGTAGCTGGTTTCTGAATTCCCTGATAATGCCAGCATATGTGGTCACCATCTATGTTTGACAGGTAAAAGAAGAGAAGTCGAAGCCGACGGTAACTTCAGCGTTGGCCCAGCATAATCATTAATTGAGCAGGTTCATCTTAAAAGCATTTTCAATCGGCGTTATTATCTGCCACGGTCTAATTCTCGCGTTAGTCCTAGAACGCCAGTAATTGCCCTTGACTAAAAACAAAAATTGCTTAGCAAAACACTTATTAGAAAAAAGCTAGCGTTAAGGTATTAGGAAAAAAATTTCATAAAATTAGGAAGAACACTTAAGTAAGAAGTATTCCACCTTTGTGAAAAAAAAAATTTTAGAGCGAAGTGGCTTTAACTGCTGGAAGACAAGTTCCCCACAGGCCATCAGAAATAAGCGGGTAACTATTCTAACTTTACTTCTCAAAAGCTAATGGTCTTGCCAATTAATCGAAAAGCGCTTCAAAGTTTATTCAATTTTCCACATTAATAGACATCTCTGACCGTTTCAAACATGGCAATAATAGTTTATCTTTTTTTACGTCATCAAGTTCAGTTCTTATAAAAGAAATGTGACGTAATTAATTTACTCTTGACAAAGCTGCTTTGCAGCAAAAGGACAAAAAGATTCCCTGCAACCGTTTCACATAAATTACGAAGCCAATCTCAATTTCGTTCCAGAATGGCATCTTTTTGTTACTGTACGTGGAAAAAACTTCCAGTGTACCAAGGATATTTTAAAAAAGTTGGCTGCTAAAGCATACCTTCAGAAGCCTTCTTTTGACTAAGTCTCAACGCTTTTATATCGAAGCAGTTGACCACATCAAACTTTGCGCCACGCTGACGTAGCTTTCTCGTAGTTGGCAGTAAAGTAAAGAGCGAGCGTTATTACTGCCAGTATTCGCAAAGCAAAACCCCACAAATTCATGTTGTGATTCCATTAACGAGAAGAACGATGGGCATACTGTACTTCTCTTAAACCACTACTGGTGGACGTAAAAGTTACAAGTTAGAGGTTGTGAGAATTGAAGAATTTGTTACAGGTCTGGAAGGCGAAAATTTGCAAAATTTTATATAAAATATAAATTTTTGAAACAATTTTGCAGAAATTGAAATAACAAATTTTGGTACCTGCTTTTATAAACAAGTGCAGTTGGTGCAGCTACCCTAAGATTCACGTGTTCATTTTAAAAAGTGGATTAATATCTGTCTCACATTGCTTTTTGGCTCATCTTTACTCTCAACTCCGTTAGAGGAACATCACTAATTCCTGTCATGTTAAAAAGCAAAAGACTGTGCACAATATGATTTTAAAAAATTTGGAAAAACGTTTCTCTTTTGCAATCTTTCAAACTTTACTTTTGTTGTATCTCCCTCTCTTATTCAACGAAATTAAACAATATCATGTGTTCAAATGCAGAAAACATGTGAAATCTAACAAACCAAAAATTCCAATAAGGTAAAACTGAAAAAAAAGCCCTGGAAGATCAGCACGTCAAGCAACAACCAGGTAGATTTCGCAGGTTTTAGAGAGTGCCATCTGGTGGGAAATCTACTTCCCCAGGTCTTCTCCTCGCTTCCTGAAACCTGGGCTTAGACTCTATCAATTAAGAAACTTTAAAAATTTTAAGGCACTGAGTGAAGAAGCGTGAGGAGTCGTATGAAATGATCCATACATGATTACGAATACAAGCGATACCTGATAGTCGGAAACCTGGAAAAGTTGACAACCCAGCCCAGCAATGACTCGCAGCCAACCAGAGAATTGAAATGGCTTTGCGAAATAAATGAGCCAATTTTTTTTTTTTGAGTGAGTAGTCCAAAAAAATGAGCACTTTTTAAATTAAGTATAACTGCAGTAAAATACTATCCATACAGTATCGTTATAAAGTAGAGAACGCATTCGGCCTTGCCTGGGAATTTATGACGGAGCGAAGAGCATCCATTAAAGCAGGAAGTTCAATCATTTCGCCGATACCAGTCAAATTAAAATCAAAATTCTGCAAGTTTAACATCGTAAAAATCGTCAGCGCAAAAGCTTCTCAAGAGCAATCTAGAAATGAAATACAAAAGTAAACTTGATTAATATATTTGAAAGAACAGTCAGAAGCACTTTACGGCAAATACGAAACCCGAAAAACAATAGCATTCGAAGAATTTAAAACTGACCGGTGGTTCGAGAAAATATGAGCAAATACCTCCAATCATCGGAGGATAAGGCAATAAGGGTTTTAAAATGGTTCGTAGTTTGCCAGAAAACTGAAAATTAAGTCAGTTTATCTAAAGACATTTTTTAAGTGTGGAGCTACTATAAAAATGGAACAGCGATATGGTATAAGTCCCACCTGTAGCTGATTCATTCCTCCAGTGACCCCCGCAATGCCAACAGTAAACTCACAGTCTCCAGCATAAGCTACATCCATATCCATAATTATTCGGTCGCGCCCAACATTATGAGTGTAAACCTTGAATAAATGCGAAATCGACGCTCTTGAGCTTAATTAGGAAATAAACAACAAGCTCCAGCACCCTTTTAAATATGAAATCAAGAAGTACCCAAGTAAACTGGAAGTATAGACCATACAAAATGAAGCTCAAAAACATTCAGAATACAAAACAGAAAGTCGCAAACTTTGATGCCGCCGACACGGCAAGGTATATCACCCATATCCACTTGAGTAAATCTGAACGACTTCAGGAAAGATGGCAACTGCGCCCTCATTTGCGGAACAATGAATTCATGCAAGAATTTTTTGGCATACTCACCAACGTAAGGCCATAACTGGAGTATAACCTGGAGTAAATTTTTGTTTTAAATGGCAATTATAAGTGCAATAATTGTCATATTTTTTTTGGTTAAATTCTGAAGTCTTAAAAATCCAAAGAAATAGAAGCTGTCTGCAATCAAAATGTTACTAAAGCTTTTAATCAAAAACCTTATTGATCCATTCAACTCTTTCTGTATCTGGAAAGTTTACCCACGCAGGAAGGTCTTGAAAGTGGGCCATCACAACCTAAAATTATAGTTGTTAGACGCGGCAGTATTTTATTTTTAGCTGCTTAGATTTATCAGACTGGAAAAAAAATTTTTTTTTAATTTCCTGCAGTATAATAAAACTTTGAATTTAAAAAATATTGAAATTGTCTCAGATAAATGTTAAACTTTTTTACGCTGATAATTGGAGGTCCGATTAGCTTGTTTTCAGTAGAAAATAGAAAGCGCATTTTAACTCAAAATAACCTGCTTTTTGACTGTTAAAATAAAGCGAAACAATAGTAAAATTGGTAGTGTTTTAAGTTACTTCTCTTTCACGAGTAGCAGCGGCTCGTAGAGCCAATGTTCTTTCCTGTCTCTTGCTTCCTACATACAATTTTAGCACCTTTAAGCCAACAAGGGGCAGGATCCATAAGAAAGAATGTTCATACCGTCCCAAAAAATAACAGGCCTAGAAATCAATTAAGTTGTAACACGTCTTAGTATTTTTACAGAATTAAAAAAATAAAAATTGTGTTTTTAAATTAAATAAGAGGGATCACAAAAAACGTTTTCAAAAAATGTTTGTTTCTTAAATTTCTTCCATTACCTCTGACTTTCCCAAAAATTCTCATTTTTTCAGACCAAGGAACATTTGCTGATACAAGGTCAGTAAATCTCAATTAGAGTAACTTTTGCAAAGTGAGGAAGAATAAATTAAAAGTTGTTCTATTATTCTAAGCATCACTTTCCTTGCTCACGACTGTGATTTTCCAGAGTTTTTCTATTGAGGTCAAAATAAAATTAACGAAACAATTAACAATATGTCCAACATTGAAATCAGTTATAGAAACAAATAACAGAGAAAAAATTATAAAAATAAATTTTCTTATAGCTAGCTAGACTGGAAGAGCAAATTGACATAATTTAAAAATTTGCAACTTTTGCCAACTTTCGTCAACAAATGTATTACACTAAATTAGTGTAATTAGCGCAACAGCAATAAAACTATGTTTCATTGTTTAAAAGTCCGCTCAAACAGTTCCAATGCTCAAGTGACCTAACAAACTTACACTAAGAATAATTAATGATCCTATGGTGGGTAATATGTAATTCTGAATTCCCATCCAGCTATTTGCAGTTTTCTCGTTCCTCCTTCTGTTACAAGCTAAAAAAAACAGCAGTGTAAGTCGAAAATCAATAAATTAACATTGAAAGAGTTGAATGAGTGATATTTCTAACATTAATCAGGACCGTACGAGAGACGAGTAAGTGGATAGCTAAACCAGATTTATGAAACTTATGCCGACATGACAGCTAGTAAAAGTTATTCATCAGCCTTTTGCGGCCTTTTAAGCTTATTTTCCCTCAACATCATGTTAAATTGCATTCTTTTTGAGCTTTTGATCCAGTAAAAACGTAAAAGTAAAACGTAAAACTCCAGCCACAACGGCCAAAGTCAACAATATGCCAAAGGTTATACTAAGAAAACAATACTCGAAATATTAAACGTAATATGCAAAAAAAGTTAAGATGGCTAATATAAATTACTATATTTCGAAACGATGTAAAAAAAACACTCCCCTCACACGGAGCACAAACTGACCACTAATATCGGCTTGCTAAAAGGCGAAAGCGTGACATCTGTCTTAAATAACACACAAAAGGTGTCACCTTTTACGTGAACCAAAGAAACTTGATAATTCAGTTAAAGGAACTGGTAACACTAAAAGCTTGCATGTGACTTTTCCTGAAGTTCTAACAGCTGGCAGGCGAGTACAAAAGAGGACGCTGGTAAAATTTTAAAAGTCAAATCTTCCATACTATTTTCGTAAAATACTCACCTTACAGGAATTCTGCAGTAAAAATCTTCATCCTTTATTATTCTCCCCGACCAACCAAAAAAACCCAAGACGCATCTCATCAACTTCTAAGATACCTACACAACTACCACCTGAACAAGCAACGCTAATTCCTTCTGCTCTATATAGCGACATGAAAGGCGCACACAAAACACTAACACTAATACACCTGATAAGCAACAACGCTAATCACCAGCGAAACCATCTCAGCGCCGTTGATTCAACTGACAGAAACAGAGCCTGACGTTCAGGTAATAAAAATAAAAATTTATTTAGAAGAAATGAAATCAACACCCTGACTTCCAGTCTTATGTCACCACAGGACTACCGCAAAGGACCAGGAGGATTGACAAACTAATGGTAAGAGATGAATAATTTTGCCGCAAAATGGTTCAAAAAGTTGACAAGGAGCCAGAGGCAAAATGAAACAATTCCAGTGATACACAAATATAAACAAATTAACGAAAGAAAGGGAATAAATATATATGCACATATTTGTGCCTATATATATAGATAATAAATCAATAAATAAATATAAATGTATATAATAAATAAATATATAGTAAATAAATATAAATATATATAACAAATATATATATATATATATATATATATATAGTGAATAAATAAA